TTTCACTTATGTTAATTTGGTCCATCTTGGCAGCAATTTGTTATAGAACAGCAGAAGTCCTTCTGGAGAAGGTTAGTGCAGCACAGAAACTGAAAGGCAGTTCAGAATTACTGATGTCAGATTTTCTTTTTTTAAGATTGTCTTTTGAGAGTATCTTTCCAGCTGTCAATGTGCAACATATCAAAGCCATGAATGATATGAATGATACCCTTAATATAAATGCTTCTGAGATAAAAGCAAATATTTTTCTCTTCAGGTAGTATATGATATTTAAAAACAGGTTTCCCCAGGTTGTTTTAACATTCCGTTTAAAGACATGAAGCTGTTCATACTTGTGACTTGGCGAGAGCCGTGTGCTGCTGATGAGGATGAGTGAGGACAGTGACAACCTTGCTTGATTGGTCGTTCTCTTCCTTCAGCCCAGTTTTAACCTGTCATTATAATTTCCATGTCAAACCTTGGGATCACGGTTGAACGGTCATGTAGCCATCTGCTTAGACTTGTAAAAGGAGCTTTTAGTATTTTAAAATTTGACTGAATTGCCTATTTTATAGATTTTTAGTGGCCATTGACAGGAGGAACGGCCCTGAAGTTGCCATGGAAACTGTCAAAATGGCCGAAGACTTCATGCTGTCCAGTGATGGGCTGGTAGTTGGGTTGGACCTCAGTGGAGACCCAACAGTGAGTGTTTGTGGGGTATCCGCTTTCTGTCTCATATGTAGCCTCTCTTAAACATCATGTGATTAGCTGATGTGATAAGAATCTTTACTCATGCCTTATTTTTTTGTGTACTTTTTTGTGTTGTTTGGCAAAATAGTGAAATTATTTACAGTACATCTCAGAAAATCGTCCTTCAGGAAGTAATATACTGATGTTTTCCAGAAATGTTATCCAGCAGTACTGTAACAGTGCCACGGAAGAAAAATACATCCTACCCTTTTGAGATGATAAAAATATGAGCCCTCAAGTCATCAGTGCTAGCCCATTATTATACAGTTGTTGTAGGAGATTTGTATTTCACAGTAATAGTGCCCTCAAACCAAATTAAGAATGGTAGAATCTGCTACTCCAACAATAAAATGTAACCTACAGAAATGGATGAATGTGGGTTTATTTTAAAGGTGGGCCATTGCAGAGACCTCATGCCTGCTCTGCAGAAAGCCCGGAGTGCTGGGCTGAAGCTGGCTCTGCACCTGTCTGAGGTAAGACTCACTGCTCCACTACCAGTCCAGTAACGGTCCTTCTCAAACACCCCAAGAACATGCTTGATCATTTGATATACTTCCAACTTTTCACCATTCATGTGGGTGTATTTCAATGTGAATGTGAATATTAATACTTCAATTTAAAGGACTGTGACTACACGAGATTCTGCAGAACTGACTTTTATCAAAATCCTTATGTAGCATCTAGTAGAACAAATAGAACAAGATTTACAGACCGCAAATTAAATCTCTGTTATATATGCCTGTCAATTAAATATTAATGGTCTTATAAACAGTCATAAATACTGTGTATATCAAAAGTCTACACACCCTTATTGAAATTTCAGTTTTTGTTGATGTAAAGCTAAAATCAAGACAAATTGTGTCAGATGTTTTATCACCTTTATTTAGATATTGTGACCATCAGTATTTAAGTGAAAAACAATGCCTTGAAAGTCATCAAGGGTGTGCCATCAATAACGGTGTGCAGACTTTTGAAATCCACTGTATATGACATAACCTTCACCCCCACATTAAAATACATTTGACAAATATTTACTTGTCAAGTTTTTTTTTAAGAGCACATTTGTGGGAATTTGTCCGTGTAGTCGCTGTGTGTCAGGCCATTGAGGCTCAGAGCTTCCTGCTGCAGACTCTGCCCTCTTCCAGGTGCCCACCCAGAGGGAGGAGACAGAGCTGCTCCTGACCCTGCCCCCTGACAGGATTGGCCACGGCACCTTCCTGCACCCGGAGGTGGGCGGGTCCCAAGCGCTGGTGGACGCGGTGAGACAGGGCAACATCCCCCTGGGTGAGATGGTGAAGCTCCACTCTTAATCATTCAGCACAGTTAGAAATAGGTGGGAGCCCCCCCAAAGGGATTCCAGCTCTCAGTAGGCCAGTCAGGTTTTAAATGGATTTGTCCTTCTGGCACCTCACTAAACGACACCTATATTATGGTTAAGCATACAATTCAATTGTGGTAATTTGGCATTTGTGGCCAGTTCTGGTCGGAAGTGGCTGAATCCCTGTGACAGCTATGAACAGAGGTATTCTGTGAGAGCCAGACTACAGCAGTCAGCAGCCTCTCAACCTCACCAGTACCTGCCGTGACTCCTAGCATTTGTTGGTACGCAGGTATAGATGTTTATCTAGAAAAACTGGTTTTAAAACTCTGGTTTTAAACAGTGGACAAATTGACAGAATTTTCAAGTTCAAAGTACAGTTCATTACATTCTCAGACACAGCTGTTGACTGGTTTTGTATTGTCTTTAGGTAATTTAAAAATACAAATGAGGTATCTTAGTTCAGCTATTTTCTTGGTCTGTAGCAATTTAAGTACAATAATTTGAT